AATAAAGATGATGATGATGATGATAATAATAATGAAATTAATAAATAATAACATTCGTGAAACACGTGGTCGGTCGTCGTATTTTTATTTTTTTTTTTTTATAAATAAAAACTTTTTAAAAATTTTAACCGTTAAAAAAAAAAATTCTATTAAAAGTTTATTTATTAATTAAACAAATAACTCTATAGGGCTTTAAATTATTTATTTATTTATTTAAATAATAATAATAATTGTAATAATTATTAAATTTAAATAAATAAATAAAATAAATTTTTTTTTTTTTTTTTTTTACGATACGTCGAATATGGAATAATTTCTTAATATCGATAATTTAACTTAATAATAATAATAATATGATAATATACTCACAAATGATAATAATAATAATAAAAACGTCGGTTAGTAAATAGAAAAAAAGAAAATTTGGTTTTAATTAGGAAAAATTTTAAAAAAGAAAATTCACTTTTACATGTAACGGATTTTAATTATAAAAATGGTTGTAATGGAGGATGTGGAAAAAAGGAAAATTTCTGTCGTTTTTTTTTTTTGTTTTTGTATATGCGAAAAATAATAATAATAATAATAATAATAAGTTAAAATAAGAAAAGAAAAAAATTAAAAAGTTATTATTATTATTATTTTTTTTTTATTCACCGAATATAACCGTAAAAAAAAAAAGAGGACCGCGGAACGCGATGAACTCACTTTGAAAGTAAAGTGCCGACTGGCAAAGCATAGAACATGGAGGAGCAGATGAGACGGGCAGTCACTTGAGTATAGTGTTCACAGTAGGAAGGGAGTCGTGAAATGGGATGGGGGAAGTACAACTACGCGTTTCAGTCCTAACAAATCTGCGGATTTAACGAGCTTTTATTTTACCCGACACAAACTTTTTTTTTTTTTTAACATTTTCTTTTTTTTCCCTTATATAAATCGTTACTATGGATAAAAAAAAAAATTTTTTATTTTAATATTTTAAATGAGTTTATACGTCACGGATTTTAAACGTGGTAGTAGACGAGAAAGAGAAAGAGAAAAAAAATACGTTATAACCGCGTCAACTTTTGTGGGAAGCTCATTTCGAGAGAAAATTGTCTCCGTGTCGAATGCCTACAAAAAAAAAAAAAAAAAAAAAAAGAAAAAAAAAAAGAAAGAAAAAGAAGAAGATTCTTTCTGTAGGATTTCCGTCCGTGGGTCCGTCCGTCAACGGAATTAAAATTCAAAATATGAAAAAGATGGGTTTTGAAGTTTTTTTTTTTTTTTTTTTTAGAAGGCGTTGGCCTTCATCGGAAGCGATATTTTTTTTTTAAAAAAAAAAAACTTTTTTTTACTACACAAACAAGTACTTTTTGTAAATATGTATTTATATACACGCACAACAACAACATGCGTGTGCGTATATGTAACAAAACGCCATTGTATTTTAATAAAACCGTTTGTCGAGAGTAAGAGGTCACGTGGTTAAAATTAACGGACAAAATATTAACGTTCGATTATAATAATATGTATGATAACGTGAGTAATAATTTAAAAAAAAAAAACTAATCGATTTTATTTATGTTTGGAATTGAAAACAAACAAACAAACGTAATTATTAGTTTTTTTAAAAGAAAAAGAAAAAAGAGTAAATTTTTTTAATAAGTTTGCCGCCATTTAATTAAACAACAGGTTGTAATGGGGTTGTTGTTGTTAATTTTTTTTTAATAGAAATTGTTTTTTATTTTTGTAACGCGCCTTAAAATTGACAAAAATTTACTTCTCCAAAACACAAAACCACATTTTCATATGCCCCCGATAACTTATCCTCCTTCTCCTCCTACTCCTACTCCTCCTACCCCTCCTTCGACTAAAGACAGATGGCCATGTGTTAAATAGCACTCTGTTAACAAAAAAACCTGAAAAGGATAGGATGCGTGACGTTGGGGGGGAGGGAGGGGGAGGGTGTAGAGGACCCTAATTGTCCTTGAAAAAATTTCAAACCTTATACCGTCTCCTTCTTCATCCCCTAACTATCCTTGTGAATGCATTTCTCGCACCCCTTATCAATCATCATCATCTGTGAATGAGTCCATGCGCACATGATAGCGTGGTGGTAACCGCGTTTACGTGACTCAATTGATGCTCTCTCTCTCTCTCTCTTTATCATTTTCTCCCTTTTTCTATTTTTTTTTTACATTTCTTTTCCCTGACAGAAGAGAGTGCGTGCACTCACGATCGAAAGCAGCACACAAACACGGTTGAATAGGGAAACTCACAGGAAGGAAATTTATCCCGGAAGTAAAAAATTTTTCGAGAGGGCAAAGAATAACTAACGAAACGTCTGCATGACCAGTCTGTTCTCTCTCCCCTCTCTCTCTCTCTCTCTCTCTCACGAGAAAATTATGGTCAAATCATATTTTTTTTCTTTTTTTCGGGGAGGGAGGAAAATCTAACAGAAACGTATCGATTCGAATAATATTTTTTTTTTTATCAATGGAAAAATTTTACCCGGATATATATGTGTTAAAATTATTATTATTATTATTAAAATTTGAAGTAGTTATGATAATGTGTAATTTTTTGTCGACTGCATGTAGGATCTTAATCGGAAGAATTTTTAGAAAAAGGATGAAACAAAACAGAAAAAAAAAAAGAATATTCTACGTCCCTCGGAGCCTTAGACTCTAATTCGGACATGTACAACTTTGTTTAGCCTCGTTAATCCCCTAGTCTAAACCCTCTGGGCTCATAGCAATATAACCTTTTATATAAAATAAAAAAAGGAACTGTTTCCTTTGGTTTCGTTGCCATGGATACACATTTGTAGAGTATCCTCTTACGAAAATCCTTTCTTTCTGTTGGAAGAAGAGGAAAAAAAAAAAAAAAAAATTTTTTTTTTTCTTTCTTTCTTTTTATCTCTTTTACTCTCTCTCTCTCTCTTTTTTTTTCTGTTTCGTATTCTTCAGGTTACAAGAGCTAAAATTTTAACGAAATTTTTTTTTTTTACTTTGGCTTCTATTTATTGTTACTTTTTAAAAAAAGTGCGAAAGAAAAAACAAAATGAAAATTTTTTGAAAAAAAAAACCGTTAAAATGACGTGTAATTAACCGATTAAATCGAACGTTTCAAATAATAATAATATTTTTAAAAAAACGGGATCAGGGAGCTTAAAAGGGAAAAAAATTGGCGCCTTTTTAAATTTTTTTCAAATGTTAACAAAAAACGCGGGAAAAAAATTTTTTTTTTTTGTAAAACCGTTAACTTCCGGTTTTAACGGAAAGGATCAGTTTAAACTTAATCGATTCAAATGTTGTAAGACTCAATTGATATTATTATTATTATTATTGAATAAAATTTAAATAAGGCCCGAATATTAAAAAAAAAAAAAAAAACGATCACGATTTGATGATGATGATGATGATGATGACACAACAAAGGCTTCCTTTCCGTTTTCAAACTTTTATGGCCTTTATCTGATGTCTAATTAATCGAAATCAGGCGTTCGTAACGCGGCCCCAAGCAAGGAAGTCTTCAAATTTCTAGAAATTAAACCCGAAAGATGCGATACGTAAAAAATTCCTTTTAGTCCGTCAAAGGAAAATCTGTTTGTCCGCGTTCAGTTAATTAAAAGGAAGAAGGAAGAAGGATTTACTCAGAGAAATCCCGACAGTGAAAAACTATCCTACTCCTCTTTCCAACCCCAACCCCACCCTCACTCCCATTCCCATCCCCATCCCTCACTTTAGAGTTTTATATATATATACACCCTGGAAAATCAGTCATGCAAGTCACAACTTAAAATGAGGTCTTTCCCTAGGAGAGGGAGAGAAAAGAGAGAGAGAGAGAGAGAGAAAAGTTTCAAAGGTTTTTCGGGGGATGGGACACCGTGGTGTGTGTGAGTGCGTGTGTGCGTGCGTGAGTGTGCGTGCGTGTGTGTGTAAAACTACATCAAAGGCTTCTGACGAAAATAAATTAACCATAATGGATCTAAATATTTTTCATTTTAAAAATTTGCGTCCCGAAAAGTTGGGGCAACGAATTTCTTTTTTTTATGCCTTTTCACGTCCGTTTTCCCGTTAAAATTTCCTTCAGAAATTATTATTATTATTATTATCATTATTATTAATTATTACATTTTTTTTTTTTTTGAAATCTCAAAAATATTTCATTGAGGTTTTTTGACACGGTCGATATAATTCAACGCGTAAGGGAGGAGGGAAGGGTAGGGGAGAAGGCAAATAATAAAATAAAAATACATATAATCTGATAAGTAAGTAAAGAAAAAGGAAAAAAAAAAAAGAAAAAAGGAAAAAAAAAATCTAAAAGATGAGAAGACATAAAAATAAAATAAAATAAAAAATAGGTGAAGGATTTCTTTTGAAAAAGATCTGGTTTCGACTTTAAAAAAAAAAAAAAAAGAAAGAAAGAAAAGGAAAAAAGGAAAAAAGGAGAAAAAAAGGAAAAAAAAAAGGTACAGAAAAATGTCCTGTCGTGAAAGGCTAGGTTTATATGTGACAAAAACCAGAAGTAATACTCCTCCCTCTCTCTCTCTCTCTCTCCCTCCCACCCTCCTCCTCCCCATCACTCTTTCCTTTTTTTCCACATCTCTTCTTCCTCTCCTCTCCTTTCCTTTCCACTTTTCCCTTTTCTCAATCTTCTCTCCCATTTCTAAAAACTTGCTCTTTTTATTCCTCCTCTATCCCTTTTTCCCTTCCTCTTTTCTCTCTTTCTTTTCCCCTCTTTTTCTCTTCACATCCCATCCACCTGACCGACGTACCGACCGTTCGTTCATTTCCCGCAGCTTCTTGAGAAAATGTGATGGGGGACCCGTCGTAAGTCGGGCGGTACACTCACCGCCAATTTGACTCCCAAAAAAAAAAAAAAAAATGGCTTCCCTTTCTCTTTAACTCTCACGTGTTTTTCATCGAGTTTTTTCTTTTTTTTTTCCTTCTCTACTACATCGGGAAAATTTTCTTTTTTACGACGTTAACTTTTTTTTTCTCTCGCAAATCAAACATTTATCATGATTCTCAAAACCAATTATAAAAAAGAAAAATAACCGACAAACAAATTCGAAAAGGTTTTCGTCAGAATTATTATTATTATTCTCATACTTGTTAAATTTTTCTAAAAAAAAATTTAAATGAAAAAAAAAAAAAAAATGGAAACTTACCGATGAAATCCTCATCCTTTTGTAATCGTTGACGCCATTTTCTTTTTGTCTACTGCCACGATCGAAAACGAATTTTTTTCTTCCGTTAAATTTAGGCAACGGGTAACATATTGGAAAAATATTTTCCGTTTTAAAATTATCTATAATATTTATATTATTAATAATTTTTTTTTCATTGTATGATGAATCCGATGTATCAACGTCACTTCCGGTCGACTTGTCGTAATTATTTAAAAGATTCAACGTATTCGAATCAATATTTGAATAAGCTCTGTCGTTGGAAATTTCCGAGTCCGATGACGTGTCGTATAAATTTTTTCTTAGTTTTTTTATTATAATATTATTATTAGTTAGAGGAGTAGAAGTTAATAAAGTTTCACGATGAGAACAAGGTTTTGAATTTTCAATATTGTTGTTACTTTGTCTATTATTATTATCTCTTTTACAAAGGTTTTCGGGACTGTTTTGTTCACAATTAGAACTTTCTGTCGTTTCCGAAATGTCTGTCTCAGTTTTATTTTTTTCCTCCGCGACCGCCATGTTGTTACTACGCGATAGATTTTTTTTTTTCATTATTATACATTTTTTGGTATCGGGTAACGTTTTTATATTTTCCATTTTGTTGCCAAGAATTTTTTTAACGGCTGGAGAATTCGGTCTTTTTTGACATTCGTAACAATTTAATAAAAATTTTGTAACGGCTTCACGTGGAAGAAAAGAATACGTTTCGGTGATCTGAAAAAAACAAAAAAACGACCAGGTTAGGTTATGTTTTCTACATTTTTTAAACGTAACGTAATTTTTTTACCCCCACCCTCCCCTTCCCCCCCGTCATCCCAATGATAAAACTTTAGGGTAATTTGTTTAGAAATATTTTTGGGGGTACCTTGATTAAAAAAAAAGTATTTTGTTATTCGAACCTTAAACGTTATTTCAAATTTATAAAAAGGTGATGATGACGTCATGAGGAAATAATTAATTAACGCCATCTGAAGTTAATTTTCGTAAGTTTTTTTTTTTTTTTTTTATTTAAATTTTATTAAACGACTAACTAACTAACTAACCGTTCGGTAAGTTTTCTTTTGACCAGCGTGTTTTCCATTTTTTCCATCAATTTCTACGTGAACTCCGTAAATTATATCGAAGAAATTTTCCACTATGGCCACCTTTTTATACTCTGAACCGATGTCCTGGAAATAAAAAAGAAAAAAAAAATTAAAAAAAAAAAACTTTTTTTTGAGAAAGGTTCTCTTTTGAGAAAGAGAGAGAGAGAGAGAGAGAAAAAGGACAGACGGACGCCAGAGGAAAGAGAGAGCGGTACGTTCTCGTCCACATGTATTACACACTGTGACCGGGGGTAAGGATGAACGGGTGGAAGAGAACGAAGGGAGGGAGAAGCGAGGGGGACCTTTAGATATAAGGGCAGCCATTTGGAGACTTAGGGCTTCGTGTGTTCTCTCATTGCTTTTCCTATCCTTGTGACGTTTAACGCGGATTCAACGATGTCTTTTATTTATTCACCGTATAAAAATTTTTTCTTTTTTTGTTTTTGCGATCTAATGATTATTTTTTCCGTTGATTTTTTAATTTTAAAAATTGATAATAATAATAATGAATAATTTAGAAACGATAATAATAATAATTTTCATCCAATTCGATAGAAAATCGAAAATTACTCGTTCGATAATTTTTTTTTAGAATGGCAAAAAATAATTTATATTTATATTTTTTAAAAAAATTAACAATTAATAAGTAATAATAATGATGATGATGCATTAAAAAATTGATTTAAATATAATTTTATCGGACGAGAAGGATGGGAGAGGGGGGAGTCGGGGTCGGGGGAGGAAAAAAACAAAAACGAAACGAAAAAGAATAATTTAAATTTAAATCTAAGCTTCTTATGACATTTGAAAACCCGTACAATTAAAATTAAAATCCGTTACTCTGTTAAATCCGCATTCGAAACGAGAGTGTGCCTAGATCCTAAAGGCGTATCTAAAACAAGGAGTGAATGAGGTGGAAAGGGAAGGTGGGGGTGTGGGAAATTTAGGGGGGGAAAATTGGTGGGTTCACAGCGTGGCAGCAGCGAGGGGTTTTACAAAGTTCTCTCTTTTAACCATGAAAAGGGGTCTTTTAGAAATTTTCGGTAGAGAGTGAGTGAGTGGGTGGATGGGTGGTTGGGCGGATGGAGTGATTTGAGTGAGGGCTACCCTCGGGGCCCGGGCCCGTCATTTGCGCCCGGCAGGGAATTCGCATCCTATTTCCGGAAGTAATTACTAGCTAAGCTTTAGTTTTAGTTAACTTTACCTTTGCAATGATAACCCGATTGATTTTATGACTGAGCCGCCATCCCCAACTTTTGATGATTTAAAATCTAAAGATTATTTATTATTATTATTATTATCATCATCATTTCTTTTTTTTCCTTTTATTGTTTTATTATCACGTTTTAACAAAAAAAAAATTTACGAACTAGAAATTTTACTTTCCCCCCCTCCCCGAAAAAAAAAAGAAAAATTATTTTTTCGTCTTTAATTGTTTTCGTTTTTTTTTTTTTTTTTTTTAAATTCGGAAAAATTTTTTGTGTGTGTGCATGTATGAACTTTGAACTTTTAATAAACTTATTAAATTAAATGAAGCCGGTAAAACAAAAAAAAACGTGGGGGCGGGGGGGAAATATATATATATATAAATAAAGGTAATCGTATAAGATTTTAAAAAAAAACCTTGAACTTCATTTTTCAAGGTCACAATTCTTATCAATTTTTATCAATTTAACCTAACCTTAACAATTAATTATCATTATATGCGTATATTTATTTGTGGGGGGAAGGAGGGGTATTAAATCTGAGAGAAATGAAAAAAATGTTAAAATATAACAAATAAATAAATAAATAAAATACGTTTACGTTTTCATTCCGTAATCATCATCATCATCATCATTATTATTATTATTACGATACGTTAAAATCGGGAAGAGGGGATGGGGGAGAAAAAAAAAGAAAAAAAAAGTAGAAAAGGTAAAAACGATAAAAAATTTAACGTAAGAACTTTTTTCCTACTCAACGTTTTCTAATCCCATCGACCTTTTTTTAAATTTTCCCTTTTTCGGTCTAGAAAATTTCAAACGAGAATAGTTAGAAAAGAAGAAAAGAAAAAAAGAAGAAAAAAAAAAAAAGAAAGAAAGAAAAAGAAAATAAAAGAAAAGAGAATCTATGTGGGCAAGGAAGGGAAAAAAAAAAAAATAGAAAAAGGTTAAAAGCAGAGAACGGAGGGATGGGATGGGGATTGGGAGTGAGGGTGGGGATGAGGGTGGGAAAGAAAAAAAGGAAAAAAAAAAAAAAGTAAGAAAAAGAGAAAAACACGAATAAGAATATGTGCCAACCTTAGAAGTTGTAAAAACCCTTATAGCCTAGCCATCATGCTGAAAATTCATTCCCTTTTCTCTTCCCCCCCCCCTTTCTCTTCCTCTCTTCACTTTTCTACCTCATCTCTCTTTCTCATTTTATCCTTTCTTGTTCTCTTTCCCCCTCCCCCCCCATTTCCCGTTCCTTTTTTAAACCATCCCATTTCAAACTGAAAAGCTCTGAGGCTTCGAGTCCAAAAAACTATCCCGTTTTCGTATTTTCTAAAAACGAAAAGTTTTTACAAAAAAAAAATAAAAAAAGAACGTTTTATAAATACATTAAAAACGTACAACTAGGTTTTTCTTATAATGAAATTATTTTAGGAAAAAAAAAAAAAAAGGTTTTTCCTTTTGCCTACACAAAAACCGACGTGAATTTCAGTGGAAATGGTTCTTTAGAAAAAAAAAAAAAAAATAGGACATTTTTCATTTTGTTTTTTTTTTTCCTTTTTTCCTTTTTTCGGGGGAGTCTCTTCTTCTTTTTCTTCTTACTCTTTCGAAAGAGTAGAGGGGGAAAGGGGGGGGAAAAGAAACACGTAACTATTTTTTTTAACGATAGATTTTAAAATTGCTTTTTTTTTTACGAACGTTGTTGTTAACTAGTAAAAGGGTTAATCTAATTTTAAAGAACTTATTAATTTAAAAAAAACCCTTAAACCAAGTTAAAAATCTCTTGTTAATTATTAATTTAACATATTTTAATTAATAATAATAATTATTATAATAATAATGATGATGATGATGATGATACGTTACAATTCACATAATTTTTTTTTTCTCGCAAAAATTCATCGATAAAATACTATGAACGGAATGGGGTAGAGGGGTGGGAGAGGGTGAGAGGGAATAGGGGATGATGTTAGTAATGATAATAATGATTTTATTATATATTTTAATGAGAAAAAAATGACCGGAGTATGATACGCCGCCCTATTAAAAAAAAAAAAAAAAAACCTGTTGAATAATAAAAAAAAAAAAAAAATTAAATGTACAATTTTTTAACCCTATGGCGCGTAAATTATTGTTTCATTTTTTTTTTTGTTCAAAACAAACAAACAAACAAACGAACAAACGTGTGTGCAAATTGTAGTAGTAAAAAACAAACGGGTTAACTTATAATTTTTTTTTTTCCTTTCCACCCTTAAAACAAAAAATTATTATTATTTGTCGCAAAAGGTTTTCGTTAAATTTGGGGAAAAAAAGAGGGCGGAAAAGAGAGAGAGAGAGAGTGAGTGGATAAAGAAATGAAAAAATGGGAGGATAAGAGAGAGAGAGAGAGATAGAGAGAGAGCGGTAAGGTCCATAAATGCTCATCTATATCCTGTCAACTTTTAAAGGTTTTTCATCTTTTTCCTTTTTCTTTTTCTATTCTGTCTCTCCCTTTTTTTTTTTTTCATCATTTTGACTTTCCTTTAGCGACGCCTTTTTTCTTTTCTGTCACTCAGATTAGTCTTGAGAATGATTAATCACTCTTTCACTCAAACGAAAAAAGAAGGAATTGAATGAATGTTTAAGAAAACGTTGAAAATTCCGTCAACGAAAAATATTAATTTGATTTTAACAAAAAAAAAAAAAAAAAAAAAAACGAAACAAAATCGTTATTACCCGAACGGAAAATTATTATTATTATTATTAAAGGTGCGAATAAGATTTATTTTAAAAAAAAATTAAAATTTACGCACGTGCGTATATACACCGGGAAAAAAAATATTTTCATTCCCAACCGTTTGTTTCTCTTTTCTCCTTTCCGCCATTTTTCCTCCTCCCCTCCCCAATCTATTAACGAAGCGAACAAAAAACCGTTAAATTTAAAAAAAGAAAAACTAATTGGATAATATGTTAATTAAACGTGTAATTAATTTCGTAACAATCAAAATAAACGTCATTAATAAATAATATTTAATAATTAATTTACGTCACGATTCTATTGACACGAAAAAAAAAATTTTTTTAATGTAGGTTTATTTATTTACGTTTGTTGTTGTTTTTGGTTGTATTTGGGTACTCATTCATCAAATTAATAATAATAATAATAATAATAATAATACTAAAAAAATTTTACTTAAATAATATAAATACTAAAAAACTTTAACGCTTTTTTTTCTCGTGTGATACGGCTGGTAATAAAAAAAATTTTGGGGGGGAGGCAGAAGAAAAAAGGGAAAATTTAAAAGGAAAATTTTTTTTTTTTTTCGAGTGAGTATAATTTAATGCAGAGAAAGAAAACGTGGTGCGGTACGCGCCTTTTCATCTGGAAATAGTTTTCGGGAATGATGAAGCAAAAGGAGATGATTTTCGGGTTGGGGAAAGAGGGAGACAGGGAGAGAGAGAGAGAGAGGGAGGCGCGTGTAAGGATTGACTCGAGAGGAGCCTGAGGATAAATGAAAGAAGATGACGGGGGAAAGAGTGGAATGGAAGGGGGGAAGAAGAGGAGGAGGCGGTGTAACTGTCGGAAAAAGGGTGGCACGGAAAAGGGAGATTGGCGGAAAAGGATGAGAAGGAAAGAACGAACTAGTCATCACGAAATCTTCAAGAACCTTACTTTACCCGATTCTTTGTTTTTGAAACCAAAATTAAATCCCATTTTTATATATAATAAATTATTTTTAACAAAGGGATTTAAATGTGATATTAAATAACTCTCTTTCAGGATGATTCCACCTTGGAGGGACAACACTGGATCAAGGGTCTATAGAAGAATCCAGCTTTTCCCTCAAAGAGTTTTTTATAGTTGAATTCATCCTTTTTCACTTTTTTTTTTTTTTTGTACTTTTTCTCAAAAATAAAAATTAAGGAAACGCCCTTTTTGGCTTAAATCGAAATGGGTTTTTACCCGGGCCGTTTCCTTCGATACGGAAACCATTATGGTAGACGATGGGATTTATATATCGGCGGGAGACGAGAAAAGAAAACCATAAATGGGATGTCCGCCGCTTCATTCCGTTCGATTTTTTTTTTTTTTTCTACGTCGTAAAACCTAAAAGTCTAGATGGGAAAAAAGAAAAAAGCTAAAAACACAAAAGCTTCGCCTTGGGTATGATGAAAGGAAAAAAAAAAAAAAACCCGAGAGAGTTTAAAGGAAGGGAAGAGAGGAGGCGGGTGGTAGAGGGGGGAGGGGTAAAATAGGAAGTTAGAAAAGGAAAAAATGGAGGAAAAGAGAGAAAGGAATAAAATTTAAAGGTTATTTAAAAAAAAAAAACCTTAAAATTTACAAAAACCGTTTAAAAATTGACAAAACGGAAACGGAAAATGCAAACAATCAAAAAAAGAAAATTATTATTGTGTAGGTCAAAGTTAACAAATTAAAAAGTTTTAAATTATTATTATTATTAACTCCATTTTTTTTAATTATTTTATGATTTTATGTACATATGTACATAATAAATAACCGAATGTGGATTTTTTTGAAAGAAATCTTTTATTTTTTTCTTTTTTCTTATTGTTTTCGATTCGATTCAACCGACAAATTTAATAAAAGTCTTGGAATAAAAGAAAATTCAGATAATTCGAAAATGAGAAAGTTAAAAGGAGGCTTTTGAAGCTAAGGGTGGAAGCCGAGGGTGGAAGAAGGCCGAAGGGTGGAAGCCCCAGGCTCAAGGATGAGTCACTCCAACTACGTGAATTTTGGGATGGAGAGATACGGAAGGGACGAAGAAGCCGACCAAGGCGCCAACGTGACGGCCTTTCTCCAAGGGTGCCATCCTAGCGCTTTCACCCATTAGAGGGGGCCAAATAAATCAATAAAACGAGGGTGGAGGCTCCCGGTTTTCCCCGACCGATTTTCCTTTGTCCACTATCTCAACCTCTTCATCCCCGGTTTTTCTTTTTCTTTCTTAAACTTTCGCATTAACTTCTCTCTCTCTCTCTCTCTCCATCTCTCTCTTGCTCTTTCTTTTCACTCATACTCCTTTGAAAAATTTTCTTCTCTTGACATGATTTCCTTTCATTCCGGCCTTTTCTTTTTTTTTTCCCTCTTTGATGAGAAAATTACCGTCCTGGACTTCTCAAGCTGGACTAGACCCATTTCAAATGAGCTCTCTTGTTTTCTCCTTATTTTTTTTTTAGGCGCGACTCTTTTTTTTTTTTTAAATTTCTTCGACAGACATTCTTAACGTTGTTTGTTGGCGTTGAAATATTTATTAAAAATACTAATATTTATATAGAAATACGATTTGATTTTCCCGATGACGTATATTAATCAATATTTTCATTTCAAATTCAGGTTCGAAACAAAAATTATTTACAATTAAAACAGGAAAAAGTTAAGATTTGTTTGAAAAATGACCGTTAATGGCGACCATTCGATTACTTTCGTCCGAAATATTTTATTACGTTCATTTTTTTCGCATAATTAATAGTAATAAAACACAAATACGTAAATATTTAATAAAAATCTTTCTTTTTAATATAAATAATGTAAAAAAAACGATGAAATTTAAAATTTATTATTTGAAACGATCGATAAATCAAAAAAAAAAAAAATAACGGAATTCAAAAAATAAAACGATTTTGTTTAAAATTTTGACCGTTAGAATGCGCTGCCGTTTACATTTTTTTAAAATGGCGTAACATACAATAATTTTTATTCGTTTAACTTGAATCAGACGATGCGCAAAAAATGAATGCGAGCGTAAAATTGTTGGAAAAAAAACGTTTTTTTTTACGTGTAAAACCACGAATGATTATTATCATCAAGATAAGTATTTTTTATTTAATTAAAAGTTTTACTCTACGAAAATTATTATCATTTTTATGAAAAATTCGTTAATTACTACGAGGCACAAAAGTAATTAGTCGTCGTCTCACAATGTAATCCACATAAATCACGTGAAAAATATCGATTTAACGATAAAAAAAAAAGAAAACTTTTGCTAAAAACCGAAATCTCATAACTTCCACCTTAAAAATTTAAAATTTTTTATTTTATTTTGTACAATTTAAACATTCAATCACGAATTAAAAATAATTCTATTCGCCGCCTTTATAAGAATTAAAAAAACGCGTATAGTTGTCGTGACGTAATAATAAAAAAAAGAAAATGGCCGCGCCTAAAATTTACTTGTACATAATGTTTTATTCTTGTTAAAGAAAAAATAGTAAATGCAGCTTTCATTCATTTCTTTTCATCATTTCGCAAAACTTGGAGTACTGTCCCTCCTTCTCTCCCACTCTCTCTCTCTTCCTTTTTCCCTCCTTTCCCGTCTTACTCCCTCCCCTTTTTTTCTTTTTCTTTTTCATCGTCATCATCATCTTCTCCTTTTCACATCCATTTCTTTTTTCAAATTGTGCTCTTCAAGTCACAAGGCAAGGGAGGGTAAGACTACGGTTTTTGGGGATCCGGGGAGTGAAAAACGTGCCCGGGAGGAAGTGTAAGGAGGTGGGCGTGGGCGGGGGGGCGGTGGAGGGTGAGTAAGGGTTCATTCCTTTCTTTTTTTCTCTCTTACTTTTTTTTCCCACTCGTATCTCTTTACGTCTCCATCTCCTCAAATTTCCTCATCATTCCCTTTTTCTTCCTTTAAACCCTTCTCGTCTTCCTCTTCCTCCTTTCTCCTTTCTCATTCCTCCTCCTCCTCATCCACGTCATCATCCTCCTCTTTCTCCTCTTCCTCTTTCAAGCACATTTTGAAAACCGGGTTTGTCATCTCGAAAAGTGATAATTTTAAAAAGACGTAAGAGAAATGCGATTTTCAATTGATTAAGCTTGATGTTTAGTTACCAGTTTCGTCTTTTTATATTACCGCATCGCTTTCAAAATTCCCGAAGAGTAATGCGTGTGAACTTTGAATTGAGAGGAAGATCATAGGCGCACATGGGGGGGAAAATTTTCTTTTTTCTTTTTTAAAACCTTTTCGAATATTATTATTTATTATTATTTTACCTTTTCAGGAAAAATGTTTTTTTTATTAAAAAGAAAATTTTTAAATTTCGAATTTTCTTAACTGATATTTCCTCTCTCCCTTTTGAAAAATTCGATTTGCGACAAAATTTCCCGGCGAAAAAAATAAATTTTTTCAAAGGATTACCTTTTGAATCAAGGAATGACAAGGTGAGGTAATGACTCATCGAAATAGTTATTACTCTATGGAAATTAATACATCGCGCGACAAATTATAAGCAGAAGACATTCTCGTTTCATATAAATCTTTCGTGAAAATATAACGTTTTTCCCTCTGAAAATTTTCCTACGCCAATGTCGGATTTGTGCCATACGGTATCGGGTTTTGAATGGCGTCGACGGCGGCGCCCCAGACTCCCAATTTTCCTCTTCTTCCTTTTCAGCTTTTCCCTTTCTTCTTCTCTTTCTACTATCCTCTTTTTCCTCTCTTTCCCTACCCTACTCTCTCCTCTTCACTTTTCCCTCATCCGTATTACTCCATACCAACGACGATGGGATGAGATAAATGCGACACTTTCTGTGTCATGGGTGTCAACTCCAAAATCACTAGTTTTCTTTCTCTTCATGATTTTCCAATTCTATCCCTTCCATACCACCACCACCACCTCATCCCCTACCCCCCACCTCGTTCATTCCACCATCTTCCTCCTTCAGAGTCGGCTCAAAAATTTTCCTTTTGTTTCATATCAGAAACTCATGTGATGATGATGATGATGATGATGATTATTATTATTATTATTATTATTATTATTATTACCCTTATTGTTTATTTCCATTCATATCCCAGTTGCTCATTCAAATAATTATTTTCTCATTTCAATTTAACGTACGTGTAGAAAACGCAAGGAGAAAAAAAAAAATAATAATAATAATTCAAGTGTTTTAATTCTTAAAAAATTTTTTTTAAGGGTTGAAAAGACGACGAAACGTAATAATAATAATAATAATAAAATTTTTAAAATGAATTTTTCCGATATTTTTAAGTAAGCATTCTTTAGTAAACAAAATCTTTGATGATGAGTATACGGGAAATTTTGTCGTGGGATTAGAATTTTTTTAGCGCGAAAAAAAAAATGGGTGGAAGGGGTGACACATTTTGAAAAATTATTTAACCCTCGGAATCATATATATTTTCGGAAGTTTTGAAAATTATTTTTTAAAAAATATAATTTGACGTGTAAATAGAAAAAAAAAACAAACAAACCTTATGACCGGTCGGAACGTAAAGATCCGTATTTCCATTTTCCAATCCGTTTCTTCCAATGATATTATCAGCCGGTTTTGTTACGTATCCGTGGGGGACCTCCATCCTGAAACCTTTATTTCTAACCCAAAACCTAAATTTTGAATTTTCCGCGGAGAGTTGTTCTTCTCCGCGAAGAATTTTCAAAATTCTTTCACGTTTTTTAAGCGTTATTGTTTTGGTTCGTGACAGATCACCGTATGTCTTTATCACCCACGGTTGATAATTGACATACATTTTTTCCTTAATCGATTCATCCATTAGTAATATAACAAAAAAAAAAAAACAAAAAAACAAAATCCAAAAAAACAAAAAACCTAATCCCAACACCTGAATACTATTTTTTTTTTATTCATGCAAATTTTCAAATCATGCCCCCTAAAAAAACCCTCCACCATTTTTACCAAAAAAAAAAAACAAAAACATAAAAAATAATAAAAAATTTTGATCTGTCCGAACCAAAAATATTCAGTTTACATTAACGGTAAGTTTTTTTTTTTTTTTTTTTTTTTGCAAATGTCTGAAATTGTTTTAAATTTACTTTTTTTTTTTTTTTTTAGGAAGTAAATGAAAAAGTAAAAAACAAAATCAACAAAAAAAGTTTGATCATGTTTTATAACAAAAGAGAAACAAAAACATAAACATAACTTTGTTTATGTAAGTATGATATAATTAATAAAAAAATTTTTTCTTGTTTTTAAGGTATCAACTCTTTCAAACCACTTTGTAAACCACTAAAACCAACAAACAAACAAACAAACAAACACTATGATAATGATGATATTTTTTAAATAAATCATACTGATTCGACACAAAATGGAAAACTGCTGCTGCTGGAAAAAAGTGAGAAGAATAAGATGAAAAAAAAAAAAAAAAAAGCAACAACGGGCCATCCCGATTTGGTCCATGTTAGAGGGGGTGCAGATTGTTATCAGTAGGGGAAACCCAAAACAAAAGGGATAGCAAAAGATGTCCTGCTAGCCTAAAAGGGGACACAGACTCATCGTGGAAGGGGCTGACTCATCATAGCCCATTCAAAACTTTCCCATTTGATTTTCACGTTTTCAAATCAACTTTTTTTTTTGGCAGTCACAAAAAAAAAAAAAAAAGAGTTGAATCGTAGTTGGACGCAAAACCGAAAAAAGGTTACAAATAATAATAATAATAATAATAATGATAATATTGCTATTTGTACTCATTGAGTACTTTTAGTGGATTTGGATTTGTTTAGATAACAAAAGGAAAATGGCTACTGTAAACAATAAAAACAACAATAATTAATTAATTAATAACTTAATAATAATAATAATAATAATAATAATAATAATAATAATAAGGTTAATAATTAATAAAAACGTTAAAAAGTTTACAAACGATGCGTTTTTTTTTTTTTTGGGGGGGGGGAAATTGAAAAGGAGGGATATGCGCGACTTGGTGGGGTACTAAACCAAAAAAAAAAATAACGACTTATTTATTCGTTTGACCAAAAAAAAGAGAAAAACGAATGTGTCCGGTCCACAGCATCCCATTCAATTCTTATTGAACTAGTTTTTTATTTTATTATCTCCTTTTGTTAATAATGAACAAGTTTTTTGAGATGTCAAAGGTTCGCGAGAAAATTTTTGTCCGGTCGCGAGATTTTTTTTTTTGTTGTACAAACGGTCGTGGCTTCGTTTGTTTGTTTGTTTTAAATCTCAAAACTATTTAAAAAAAAGTTTTGTTTATTAATTTAAGTTCACAATTTTTCTTTTTTTTAATAATAATCTTAATAATTATTATTATTTAAAAAAAATGTTTAAATTGAAATAAGATTGATTTTATTTAAAAAAAAAAAAAACTTGTTCAAAGTCCAGTTTTTTTTTTTTTTTGTAAAATCTTAAAAGGTCAATGAAGGTTGTGAAACATATTGGGATGTATAACTGCAGCATCCTGAGAAAAAATTCACAACAAATGGACCAGTTTTAAAGGTCATGAACTGTGTTTTTATATATATAAATTTACGGCGTGCATATTAAAATTAAAATTTACTACTAACGGATTTAATAGAAAAAAAATTATTTTTTTTTTTTAAAGATGAACTGGTTCAGATTTTTTATAAAAAAAAAAAAAAAAAAAAACCAGACGTTAATTTTATGCATGCTTTTTTTTTTTTTTATTAAATCGTGATGAAATCTTAAACCGTAACAATCATCACGAATTTTTTTTTTTTTTTGGGGGGGGCATTTAAAATTAAAATGATGTTTTTAAATCGATTTTAATGGTATTATTATTATTAATAATATACGTACTTTGTGATCAATGTAAATACCCAATACACGACAAATTGTTAATTAACGGCTCTCGTACACATCATAAAACTTGTTTTCTCGCAAAATCTCGTAATTGATTAGGTTTTTTTCGACAAAAAAAAGAAAAATATTTGGTAATTATAATTTGTTTATAGTATTAATTAAATCGCGCGAACTTAATCGTATTTTAATCGAAAAAAAAAAAAAAAACGGCAAAAATTAAGATATTTATAAACCGCAGCAAAAAATCACAGAGTAAATAAATGTGATACATCGTGAAATTTAATATTAAATTCTTCGCCGTTTATAAGAACACGCTTTATAAAGGTTATTATGTTTATTAGAATAATTGTTTCATTTGATTTTTTTATAAAAAATTCTTTTATTTATAAAAAATTTATTTATATCGAGGGAAAACATTAATTAATTATTGTGAATGATTCTTACATGATGCTTATTTCGGAGGGTAAATCTAAGTGGGAAGTACAGTATTTGTCGAAAGAACAATTGAATGGATTTAATAATTACAAGGTATAAATTTTTTTTTTTAACTTTACTTATTATTATTTTTTTTTTTCTTAGAAATAAGGGAAAAAGTATGAAAACTTTTAATTACATATAATTTTATTATAAATAATTCAAGTGTAATTTTTTTTTTCGTAATTGCTATTATTTCAAGTTCTTCTGGTTGCCTTTTTTTTTTTTTTTTGTAATTCTATATTTCGTTACAAAATTTGATAGTTTTTTTAATGATATGACGATTGATCATAAACTACAATTTAATACCTCAATACATAAATTAAGAATTAACAACTGTCACACGATGGTTTTTTTTTTTTTTTAAATAATTAATTAATTAATGCGGAATACCTTTTTGAAACTCATTTCCTTTGATGTCTCTATAATGTTAAATGTTGTTCGTGACTCTTTTTCATTCCTTAAATTTAAAAAGTTAAATATTAATGAAAGAAAATCTTGTGATGAAATAAATTATTGATAGACAAGGAGTCATATTTCAATGTGATGCTGTTATTTTTATTAATTTTTATTTTTTTCAATTGAACGACTCATGTCACTTATTTGTAAGTTTTTCTGAAATTATTTATTTATTTAAAATTATTATTATTATTACTATTTTATTTTTTGCAAAAATTCTATTATGCTTTTCATCATTGAATAATAATAACATTTACATCATATTTTAATTTTATTGCATGAAATCATTTCTATCTTTGCATAACAACTTTTTTAACAGGAAATACGTTAAAAGTTTAAAAAAAAAAAAAAAAAGTCATGTCCATATTTATTGTTTTTTTAATTTTTCAATGAAACAACAATAAATATTCGGTTTTAATGAATGATATTAACAAGTTATTCACTGTATAAATTGAAGTTATTCGAAAATATTTTTTTAATCCACAAATATCTACAAACAAATGAAAAATATATAGTTAATATATTTAATTAAATTTTTACTTTTTTTTTCTACACGATTCCAATTTGCTAAAAATATAATTAAGTTCATTCTTTATTTTTCTAATAATGTATGTTTAATCACTTGTGATAGGGTATAATTTTTTTTGTTAATTAACAATAAATTCTTAATTGAAATGAGTTTGTTTAATGTGTTTATAAATGTAATCTCTATGCTTTTGTTTTTTTAAATCGAAATATTATTTTTATCATTTGAAATTTAATAGGTATGATAATTTAAATATTAGTGTAGTAAAGTATTGTTTTTTTTTCATTTTTTTTTTTTTTTTCTTTTAAAAGTGAATTAAAAAAAAAAAAAGAAAAACTGATAAATAGTATATTATTCATTCTGATTTATATCCATGTGCTATTGAATTTTTTATTTTTTTTAACATTTTCACGAAAAATTATTAATTATTTATCAATGTTCATATGAAAATATTTTAAAAATATTAATATGTTTTTCATTGATTGTGTGTTTAATTTCATATGACATACATTTTTAGTTTTTGTTTATTTTTCGAATATAGCAAATGTGTTGAGCAAGGCAAAGTTAACATATCAAATTGAAATATTTTGGCTTGAAACAAGGTGATGATGGATACCATTTTGACCTGTTGTAATAAACATTCCATCTGCTAAGAAATATACTTGGATAATTATTTAAAAAATTTATTTTTATTTATAAATGTACATACTTATTTGCAATATATGTAATTGTAGATGTTTATTATTTCTATGTTTAATTCATTTTTTTGAGTTACGATTAAGTAAATAATAATGAAATGAAAATTACTGACAGAAATGAATAAATACCTCTTGTTTTAATTATTATGGAAGTATAAAAAAAAATAACAGATAATGTAATGCCTTAATTACTAAACGATTATTTTAAAGAAGTGCCTGTTTATATTTTTCAGTACAATGCCATCGATACAAATCCACTTAGTGTGTATGTTATGCACCCATTCTGGGACAGAGTAATACAAGTAAGTTAAATTAATTTTTTTTTTAATAGTAATTTATTAAAAGAATTTTTTAAGTTCTTTTCATATTTATTGATTTTTTGTTTGTCTTTTCAGTTATGTCCCATGTGGATAGCGCCAAACGTTTTCACATTTGTTGGTTTTCTCATAACGATAGCAACATTTTTAATACTTAGTTACTACGATGTCAGTTTTTATGCTTCCAGTCGGGATTATCCAGACACTCCTCCCATACCGAACTGGGTCTTCCTCGTGGCAGCTTTTAATGTTTTTCTCGCTTACACATTGGGTAAGAAAAATTAGAAAATTGCAAATTGTTTATGCCATATCTATTCTCATGATTTTTATTTTTATATATGTATCATTAACAGACGGTATAGATGGAAAACAAGCAAGAAGGACTCAAACTTGTGGGCCTCTCGGTGAACTATTCGATCATGGATTAGACAGTTGGAGCACAATGTTCATCACCACTGCCTTATACAGCGTCTTTGGTATGTAATTTTAACCTTTAACCTTTACTGAAATGACTTCAAATTTCATTTTTCCTCAGGCTAATTCCTTTTTTTTTTTTTTTTTTGTAATTTTCAGGGCGCAGTGAGCATTCAATCTCGACTATAAGACTGTATTTTGTCTTATGGAATATATTTATTAATTTTTATTTATCTCACTGGGAAAAGTACAACACAGGTGTTTTGTATCTTCCCTGGGGCTATGACATCTCAATGGTGGTAAGAAATTTAACATAATACAACAAACGAAAAAGTAATTTGATTAATTTTTGTTAAATTTATACTTTTTCCAGCTAACCGTTACCTTATTTCTCATTACTGGAATTTTCGGTTATGAAATTTGGAAGTTTGATCTTCCTTTCAACATAAGTGCTGGTCATGTTGCCGAATTTTTTTTTTATATATCAGCTCTAGTCGTTAATGTTCCTGTCATTATAAATAATATTTATAAGTACGTCTAATGATAACTTTATCATCATTAATTTTTTTGTTTAAAAAAAACCTCACCATGATTATTATTATAATAATAATTGATTTTTTGTTTTTTTGTTTGTTTCCAGGTCATATAAACTTAGAACTGGAAGAATGTTATCTTTCAGCGAATCTATGAGGCCGTTGGCTCCCGTAACAATATGCTTTATTTTAGGAACTATTTGGACGATAGGGAGTCCAACGAACATAATTGGACGATGCCCAAGATGTGTTTATTTCATGACTGGAACAATATTTTCAAATATATGTGTAAGTTTATTAAATTAATTTTTTTTTTAAAATGGGGAAAAACAAAAAAGAAAAAGAAAAACTTTTAATTACAACTTCTTGTTTTCCTTCTTTCTTTTGTAGTGTCGACTAATTGTTAGTCAGATGAGCAGTACTCGTTGTGAAATTTTCAATTGGCTTTTACTACCCCTTTTTTTTGCAACATTTTTTTCACTCATGCTATCTCCAAGTTCTAAAACCGCAGAAACTTCTCTTTTATACATTTTGCTGATTTTAGTTACTCTTGCTCACTTTCATTATGGTACATGTGTAGTAAGTATTATTTATGTTTCATTTGGAACAACAAAATTTTATTTTTTTCGTGTGTGCAAACAACAATAATATTTCGATAAGAAAAGGTATTGAAAATGAATTTGTTTTTTTTTTCTTTGTCGATTCCAGGTGAGACAAATGTGTGATCATTTTCATATATACTGTTTTCGAATAAAAAAAAAAGAAGATTGACTATTGGAAGACAACTCTTGTTCAGTGTAGAAAACTAGTCTTTTTTCCTATTCTTCTTCTTATTCATCTTCCCTAAAAGTCTTCTCGATGATATTCAAATATTAAAAACATAATTATTTTTTTTTTTTTTTTATCATCTCAAATTTTGGTTTAATGTTGCAGTATTTTTTTTCCAATTGCTTCCAAATGTGAATAACATAATTTTTTTATGTTTGGACTGGTTGTTGTTGTTGTTGTTTTTTTTATGGGAAAAATAATTTTATATTGAATTCAAATTGATATTGTTTGTTGTCTTCCATCAGAAAAGTTTTTAATAAAATTCGATTAAAAAAAAAAAAAAATATTACAAATTGTGTTGAAGGGCGTTACTTAACAGTTTTCTTTTAGGGCAGCTTAAAAAATTTGAAAAAAAAAAAAAAATATATATATTATTTGAATATCGTCGATTGAAAATTTTTTTTTTATATATTTTCTTTTTCTATTTTTTTGTTATTCTTTTGCACTTTTGCTTGAAACCCGCCAAAACCGCCACCGCCATCACAGATTAGTGCTGCTGTATATATATGTATTATGCAAGAGTTGTCTTATTTTAATAATTCGTGGCTTGGATAAATATTGTGTAAATTGTGGCAATTTCGGTTTGTGTATACATGTAAATTATATTTATATTTATATTTATATATATATATATATATATATATATATATATATATATATCACGCAAGGCAGTTTATTTTCCGCTCTCTCAATAATAATAGTAAATGTGAGTAAAATAATTCAAAAATAATAGTAAAAGGTACAAAAAATTCTTTTTATTACCCTCCGCGTTTTTTTTTTTCGGTTTGCAATTATTTATTATTATTATTATTATTATTATATTATATATATATATATATATTTTTTTTTAAATACTTAATATAAATGCTGGATTAGTTTTATTTTTTATTTTTATTTTTTTTTTGTCAATATAAATAAAATAATGTAAAATTTTTAAAAAATAAATTTTATGTAAATCATAATACAGGATTAATTAATTATAAAGCAGTGAAAAAAAAAAAATTTTTTTTATTTAAAAGATAAATAATAACTTGCTTCTTTTTTTTTATTTAAAAAATGTATAATTTATTTTACTGCTCAGTATTATCAACAAATAAAAAAATTAATTTTATGTCATAAAAGAGCAGATGGTTTTGTTCGACAAAAATTGTTCACAAAATCATAATATGTATGAGTTTTAATATTTACATAAATTGATTTATTATAAAACAATGTTTAATAATATATTATCATTATTATTATTGTTTTTTAAATAATGAAATAAAAGAAAAAAAA